GCGGTTTTATTACAAGATCCAAAGAATAAAAGAAGCATTGCCGAGGTCCAGATTAAAACATGGGAGAGCAAAGAAAAAATTTCGCTACTAACGAGGTCGTTGCATAAATACAAACAACTTTATATTGGAGATCTGGATGGTGATGGTGAGGTTCTTTCACTTCTTTAAACAAAACTTGCTTGCCATCTGGGTATTCGGTATCTGTCTAGCGATCGATAGAGTAAAGTGACAATTGAGGGTAGCGTCGTTAAAAATAAAAAAAATAATAATAATAGATTATTAATCCCAATGTCTCAAAACTCAATTTGCTTACATCCGAATATCAGTTAGAGTATGATTTAATAGATGTGATTTAAATTTCTTACAGAAGGTGACATTGAAACGGAAAATCGAGCTACTCGACGACCAGTTACCGGAAATCTTAGCATCCGTGTACTTCAGGCACGTTTTATTGCCCATTCTCCGGCACGAACGAAAAAAGACCCTGAGACTGTCGTCGTCATTAAAGTCGACGGTTCACAAAAAGGAAAGACCCGCACAACACGTAATGATCGTTGGAACGAAGATTTTGAAATTTATGTAGAAAAGGCTAGTGAAGCAGAAATCACAATTTACGATAAGCCCAATGAAAACCTAGTACCTATCGGTCTCATGTGGATCAAAATTTCTGATATTGCTGAAGAACTTCGGAAAAAAAAGATTGAGACGGGAGGCGGAGGGTGGGTTACCGCTTCCAATCCTCAATTTGATATGCAGTCATTTCCACAGAGTGAACCGTACGGTATTCCATATTCATCGGCTCAAGCTCAACAGGGCGTTGGATCCACGGTTACGCAAGATGGTATTGAAGCTTGGTTCGAAATTGAACCAGTTGGTCAAATTTTGCTCAAGTTAAACTTTGGTAAATCAACTTTTCCTTGGGGTAGATATTAGTCGTTAATAATTATAACTAACAAACAAACTTATCCGTGACAACCTGACAATTAGTTAAAGAGAATGCACGAACACGTCCTGCGGATGCCGGTCTCGGTCGGCAAAAAGCTTTCCGTAAACGCAAAGGAGAAGTGCATGAACAGAATGGACACAAGTTTCTTCAACAAATATTTTATCAGATTATAAAATGTGCTTACTGTGAAGAATTATTTGTGAATGAGGGATTCCGATGTGAAGGTATGATTCGTACATTGAATTGATGAGATTTTTCCGGTTCCCTTTACATACAAGATGATCGATTCTTCTTGCAGATTGTAAATTAACGTGCCATAGAAAATGTTACACCAAAATTGTCACGAAATGTATTTGCATGTCAAATTCTGAAATGGTAATGAATCCTTTATTCTGTCGAGTTCCTTCCACTCAAGCTCATGCATAAATGTGTATTTTTGTTTTAAGGATTCAGATTACAAACAACTTAATCACCGTATTCCACATCGCTTTGAAGCGATCAACAATCTCACTGCAAATTGGTGCTGTCATTGTGGTTACATGTTACCATTTAGCAAGAAAAAATGTTCCGGTGAGCCTTGTTATCCTGGTATTTGTCGACTTTTCTCAAATTATTTTATTAACTATGGAATAATTCGCAGAATGTAATATAACCTGTCACGCAAAATGCGCTCTTCTTGTACCGGATTTCTGTGGAATGTCCATGAGGCGTGCCAGTGAAATGATCGAGCAAATTCAACAAGCTAATATTATAAGGAAAAATGCGATCGAAGATACTAATCGTATTAATAGTAATCGAGAAAAACTTAATGTTGATCGCGTGTCCGATCAACCACCAAAATCTCCGAATTTATCATCCCATAACGATCTTCAAGATCAGAATCCGTATCCCCCACCGCAGCAATATAATCCCCCATCTCCCAAGGTCACGCAAGATATCCCCGACAATGAGCCAATGCAAATGCCGGTCATGAACACACCGGTTGCACCCGTTGCACCCGTCGCACCCGTCACGCAAGTGATGCAAACTTATGTTCAACCTACTATGCAAGCATCTCAAACGGTATTCTGTTTTCCCACACATATCACATGTTTCGTGTCAGTTTAACCCCTGTTGACGGTAGTTACAATGAACTTATAGCCTCCTCGTACCTCTTCAAACCCTCCACCTCCGTCGGTTGATGCTTCCATCATTAAGCAGACTCGTAAAGTCGGACTGGATGATTTTAATTTTCTCGCAGTTCTGGGTAAAGGAAATTTTGGAAAGGTTGGTTTGTTATTAGTGACACTTTTATCTTTATTTGAACATTCGGTGTTATTTCATACCAACGTTTTTTGTTCTTAGGTTATGCTTGCAGAAGAAAAATATACCAAACAACTTTATGCTATAAAGGTGTTGAAGAAAGAATTTATTATCGAAAACGACGAAGTAGAGAGGTACGAGTTTAGCGGTGTGAGATGTGATTTCGTTAACAAGTGGAAATCTTATACTGTGAACCTTCTTTTACGATTTAAGCACTCGATCTGAGAAGCGTGTCTTCCAAGCAGCAAATCATGGACGTCATCCATTCTTACTAGGTCTGCATTCTTGCTTCCAGACCGACACTCGTATCTATTTTGTTATGGAGTATATTAGTGGCGGTGACTTAATGTTACATATTCAAAAGACGCCATTTACCTACCGTCAGGCACAGTAAGTTCCATTTTTATATTACGTTAAAAATCAAATAATCATTGGTTCATGTCATGGATTTAATAAAAATCAATACTGATTATAGAAATTTTGGAAATTGGCAGATTCTACGCAGCAGAAGTCCTCTTGGCTTTGGAATATTTACATAAGCAGGGCATTATATATCGAGATCTTAAACTTGATAATATACTGCTTGCACTTGATGGACATATCAAAATCGCCGATTACGGTCTTTGCAAGGAAGAAATGTGGTATGGCAAAACAACAAATACATTCTGCGGGACACCCGAGTTCATGGCCCCCGAGGTATGAACCATGAGAATAGTTTCTTATTGTTTTGGCCAGTCGATAATATAACAATTCTTCTTCAAGATCCTTTTGGAACAACGGTATGGTCGCGCCGTCGATTGGTGGGCATTTGGTGTTTTGATATACGAGATGCTTTTGGGACAATCTCCTTTTCGCGGTGATGATGAAGATGAAATATTTGATGCAATTTTGGAAGACGAGATTCTATACCCCATAAATATGTCCCGAGATTCTGTCTCGATATTGCAGAAGGTAATTCATTATCAATAATTAAAACCCCAGTAAAAAAATGTTCTTTCCTTTCTTATGGTTAACTATATAAAAATACGCCACAGTTACTTACAAGGGATCCGGAACGACGTCTCGGCTCGGGAAAGAATGATGCTGAAGACATTAAGCGTCATCCCTTCTTTAAAGGTGTTAATTGGGATGACATGCTTTCTAAGAAAGTGCCACCACCATACTATCCTACAATTGTAAGTTTAGCCGTTATCAAAGATCTTACTAATAATAAGACTTTACTAAATAGAAAATTAACATTTTAGGCATCTGCAACCGACACTTCTAATTTCGATGAAGAATTTACAAGAGAAGTACCAGTTCTCACTCCTGTTCACAGTCATCTAACTACGGCGAATCAAGAAGAGTTCAAGGGATTCTCTTACGTATCAAATTGGGTAGTGAATGGTGAAAAACAGTAGATCATGAACCTTATGTCTAGATAGAAATCGCTAACCATGACATTATGCAATGTTTTTTTCCTTAAAATATATTTATTGGTCTAAATTATATTATTTATACACATCACATCCATATTAGCTTAACTTACTCTACTCATAAAATGTTTGGTTAAAGACAATAATGAATGAACCGTAGTCGTACTTAAACGGTTTAAAAAAAAAAAAAAAAAAATTCTTCTCTGTATTGCGGAAAATTAATATCTGCTTTAAATTTCCGACAACACATTTTGATATGTATATTAAAGGTTTACTATTTTTTTACTGTATCATTCATTATATGCAAATTGATAGTTGCAGTCAAAAAATTCCTGAAAAAATTAATTCCGAAATTATTATGTATAGCAGAATTAAAGTACAGCTGATGTTTGTCATATACGTATCTTTAAATATCATTCTTGTTATTGAAATATCTTATTATGTCCATAAAATTTTCAAAAATAAAATATTTTAAATATAAAAAAAAAATGGTTATAATGTAGTATAGGTGATACCACTAATAATTAACAATAGTGTTATCTATATTCTGTTTTAATTCAAAAAAAAAAATTATTAAAGCAATTATTTTAAATATACAATATATGAACTAAAATAATTGTTATATTTGATCAATATATAAGATTGATTTTATTTTTTATAAAATTATATTTAATTGGTAATTTAAAAAAGATAAAAAACTTTCTTTTGATTATATTTGTTTTGTTAAAAAATTTTTCTTTTATGGTAATTTTAAGCAAAAAAAATATTTTATACCTTTTATTACAAGTAAGCTTAGTACAAGAATTTAAAAATCTTCAAGATAACTGATATAGTGAAATAGAATCTCTAGTTAAAGTTTATTCAAGTTTGAAAACCTTACTTATTTTTTAGTTATATAAGAAAAAACCTTTGACAGTTTTTTTTCTTATCTTTACTATATTATAAAAACTATCTATATTAATATTATTATATTTACTAAATCAAATACTTTTCAAAAAATATATTTAAATAAAATTATTAGGTTTATTAATTATTTTAATATAATCTTTATATACAACTTTATTATTATAGCACTTACTATATACAAGCAAATTTGATAAGTTGGTTACAAATAACTAGGTATAATAAACTGACTTAAAAAAAAAATTGACTTATTAAAAATTATAAATATAATTAATTTATTAAAATTTTATTTAAAAAATTTATTATTCTAAATAAATATCTATACTTATTTGTTTTTTTTTTTTTTTTTTTTAACCTTTTTATTACGACTACGGGTTCTTCATTATTTTTTT